CATGAAGCTCCCTACAGGACGCACTGAGGAGTGCCTCACCTCAACGACCTTACGGTCCACCTCCCTACCGTCTTCGTAGTACACGTCGGTAATGATGCGAGTGATGGTAGTGCGCACTTCTTGAATGGTGCGGACGTGTCTGCGGTGAGAAGGGCCTGACTGTGAGCGGGTTGGTGTGACTGGCTCCCCCTTTAAAAAAAAAAAAAAAAAAAAAAAAAAAAAAAAAGAGCACATCAATGTTGCCATATAACTGTAGCTTTTTTTGTACAGTTTTGTTAATAACACTTGGTCATCATAGATAATCATAGTGACACATGTACTACGCTTTGAACAATTAAAGTTATTTTAAATTTTGGCCCAACATTTTGGGTAAAGTGAAAATTGTGGTGGTGGTGTTCTTCTTTCTGCTGCTCCCGTTAGCAGTCGCCACAGCAGATCATTGGTCCGCATATTTGATTTGGCACAGTTTTTACGCCGGATGCCCTTCCTGACGCAGAACGCCCCACCCCCCCGATTTTATCCGGGCTGCAATACCAGTGGCTGGGGTTGGTTCCCTAGTCGGAAATGGAACCCAGGCCGCGGCGGTGAGAGCACTGTGGCCTGACCACTAGTCCGCCAGGGACCCTAAAGTGAAAATTGGGTACATTTCTTTTTTTGGCCACACTGTTCCTGTAACATGATAGAATCATTTGCTGAAAAGAAAATGGGTGAAATTCAGATTTTAAACACTGATCTTTTTTATTCCATTTCCAGTGCTCGAAGTTGACTGGTACTCACAGTATCAGACCTTCTAAGTTTCGCTCTTTTGAGTACCAATTTTTTTTTCTTCTTTGCCCATGCCTAGCCACAAAACCAAAAGGACTATCAAGCTAATAATAACAGTTTATTCTGGTTTCACAACCAAATTAAGTGGAAGTTAAATTCACAGAGAACACAAAGTGTTTTGGGTGGAGTCTATGGAGTTTACAGTTTACTTAAATGTGAGTGGAAAAAACAGAAATAGCAACAGTGTAGCGTAATGGCTTACACTTTAAACACATCCAACGCAGTTGGTGTTTATTGAAGCGCTTGTTAAAAGAGTAATGGCTGTGTGTGACCAAAAAAAACACTTCAGCAGCGTGTTTGGTGTAAACTGGCCTGAATCCATCACTTATTCTTTACCATTTTAAGCACTGTCTATTAAGCAAATGTCAATTTAGTATGTGACTAATGTAGTACATATATAATCATAACAATCAGCACAATTATTCGAGAAGAGCTGATTATCTGATCATATTAATCAGTAGTGAAGTCTCTTACCCTGCCTGATGGGAGATGTGGTCCAGAGGCATCAAAGCTGGTCTGCTGTGATGCAGCTCTCTGATGAACAAACGGGAAAAAAGAAACAGAACACTGTTTTAACTCGGTTCATTATTTCCCTCCTAATCCAACTTATTCTCTGCTGAATGTCTTACTTTGCTGAGAGGACTTGCTGTGGTGGACAAGTCCACGCTGGTTTGCTGAGACACAGCTCTCTGGCCTATGAGTGACTTGCGAGGTGCGTGTCCAGAAGTGCTGGGAGCTTCATGTTCATTAGCTGGGGGCGACTGCACCTCAGCCAGAGGTTCTGAGTGCATGGCAGTGCCGTTGGTTTGCTTTAATAACTGCTCTGGCGTACCATTACCTACTGCCTCGGGAGGCGGATCAGGGTTCTCACTGTTCGGGAGGTCAGTTTGGCTTAGAGTTCTAGTAGTTCAGGGGAGAAAAAGAGATAATGGCAGATGGGTAAGAGTTAAACTGCTTCAGTATGTTATTAATATTTAAAACAGGTTAGTATTTACATGTTTAATACTGACCTTAGAATTTTACACTATTAAAACTATTCTCTGTTGAATCACAAAGTGAACGATATTTTCTAAATGCCGAGGTAAGTATTAAAAGGGCCCTAGAACGTCTCTACACCTTAACCCCTCACATAGAACACAAGGATCTATAAATACGCATGCATATGCAAATTGGAAATGCCCCCACGTCCTCCTGCAATCAAACCTAGTGATGACATTAATGATGTCTCATTATATTCTTCTGAACCAGTTTTTTCATTTGAATAAAAACATTGTGTACCTTCTGTGTAATAATGTAATGCTGGTCATAAAATTGTAATAATACACTACACATCGTACTAAAAACAGCTATTTGCCTGAATAAAGCCTGTTAGCTGGCTTAGCCCAGTTTGTAGGTTTGAGATTGTTCAAATCGTACAACTGACAGTATGATTTGACATACGACTGAAATGGACAGTTCAAAAGATTGGAAAGTTCAATTGACAACCTGAATCCCATTACTAATCCAAACTCCTTTTCTCCCGCCCACTACCCTGATTACACTATTTATTACTAGTTATTACGAAATGATTAGCCAGACTGGGGAAACACAGCACTATCTCTGAACCTCAAACTGACTGGGCCTGAAGAAGAAAATCCGTTCAACACTGTAGCTCCAAATCTCCATTTAAAAGTACAAAGTTGTCTTTTACAGAAAAAGTATATTAACTAGGTAATCTGTCCAATGTTTTTCACATGCTTAAGAGAAGTGGCTCAACTGATGGGAGATCAGAAAAAGAGGACTTGTTGTTGAAAATATCTATTAGTAGTCCAAAAACTAGAATCACATCTTCCCTTTTCCAC